TGACCATTTGATGCTAAACCTGTTTATCTAAAGAGGATATGTTTTTCCAGATATATCGAAAAACATATCTCTACCTTGTAAAGACATGAAATGCATCTTAATGTGGAGGTTGGTAAGTTGAAGGTCAATTGAGACAAGGTTGGACAACTGTAGCAGCAATTTGTGCTTGCCAACTATATGCCGTAGTAATGCTTTTGTAAGGGAATCATTAAAGCAGAAGCTTTTTAAAAATGTAATGAATCCCATTTTTTTTGAAGATTCTTAGACATGTTTCCCTTATTAATAAAAGCTTTATGCTTGATTCTCTAGGTTAGTATACACACTGTGTGAACTCTACATTTAGGTCATGGAATGTGAGATTACCTTGGGACTTGGGTAATACTGTAATAGTATTACCTTCTTAGAGGTAATGTGAGATTATGAGGATGTAAGATTACCTTGTATGTTTAGTTGAGATTGTGTATATGTAATATTAACATGTTTAGTTGGGGTTATGTTTAATGTGGCTGTAATTTAAGATTATTGAGGTAATTACATAACTTAACTAAACAGATTATATAACATTACTATATTCATACTACCTAGGTTATATGAATATGGTAATGTTATATACTCCGTAACATTATTGAGGTAATCACATTACCTCAAATCTGATGTGGGGATAATCACATAATTTGAACTAAACAAGTTATATAACATTATCATACTCACACTATTTAGGTAATGTTAGATAACTTTAACTAAATCCCTCCTAAGGTTAACCTTAGTAAGAACTTTGTTCTCTATGCACTATAATATTTGCATCGTTTCTTCTATTCTTACATTTTTGGCTATTGCAGGAATGCATAAAACTTACTAACTTGTGACCTATTAGCACCAAATTGCTTTGTGTGAAACTATTGTTTAATTTGTTAATGCATGTTATGCTGACTTAATAATCCAAATTTTGTGTAGTGCGAGCATGCTTTAAGACTCAGTTGACATGTTTATGTTGCTATCATAGCTGACCCTTCACGATTCTGCTGCATTTGCAGATAGATTATAGTGTTTTCCTTAATGGTGGATATAGTGCTTCTGAGGTTGTGCCTATAAGGTCTCGTTCAGCACGTGATGGCCATAGTATGCACTGCTACTCTGAAAAACCGCTGGGGGAATATAGAATTTCCCCAAGTTCGTTGAGCCAGGAGTTTGATGACTTCTTCCTTAATGCCATAAATTTGAGCTTTCTTGAACGCTTAAACTTGGCTTGGAAGATAATGTTTCCATCATCACTGTCAAGGAGAAAGTCTAATGCAAACATTGCCAAGCAACGCCTGAAGATGATCCTATTCTCTGATCGTTGTGCAGTCAGTGATGAGGCGAAGCAGAAGATAGTAAGCAATGTCGTTAGCACTCTCTCAGATTATGTGGAGATAGAATCTCAGGATAAAGTTCAGCTGAATGTGTCTAGAGATCCAGAACTTGGGACAATCTACTCTGTAATGGTGCCAGTTCGCCGGGTGCGATCAGAATACCAAGAAGACGATCCATCCGGGACAATAACGAATACTGAGTACAAAGATAATGGAGAAAACTCCAGTTCTGTTGATGTCAGGTTTGATTTCTACATTCCAACTGATAATTCCAGTCATTTTAGTACATGACATTTCTACGTGCATGTGCCCGAACCTGAAGAGGTGAAAAGGATAAAAGAGCTGAACTTGCATGGGAACTATTCATTTTCCTAACGTTAGGTGCTGCTTTTTTACGGATGGATTGCTAGCTTTGTATATATCTTAATACTCCTATTCTGGTGTTGAAGAATTTGCTAATCGCTGATGACTGGTTTTCCACACTTTTTGCTTACATTATCCTGGCATATTATTCTAAGTGTTTCCACTTGCCTAATGGAGTCACTTTGTGTTCTTTTTGGAATATATTCTTGACTATTCTAGATATGTGAAATTTTCACAACCTCACAGGTACCCTTGAATATATTTTTTTTAGTAAAAAAAAAACATAAATTTATTTTATTTTTGATACTTATACTATGAAATATCAAAAGATGCAGGAGCACAGGTTATCTGTTTTTTTTAACGTGAAAAATGCTTCGTTTTATTTCCCAGTTTTGATAACAGGATGTTTGCATCATAGGGGTATATTAGAATGTGTTTCCGATTAATTGATTGATTCTTTAGGTTTATGTAAATCATATACTAGATATATTTGCCTTTTCGAAAGAAGTATATATTCCATAGAGATAAGAAAATTTTATTATAATAATGGATAATGATGAGATAAATGACAGTGATTGGCGGCGACGCCTGTGAATTGTGATGGCTCTCTATCAGACGTGATAAAGAAATTTGCGGTCCAAATTCAATGACATTTTTTTTTCTTTTTCATTTTCTTTGCCATCACTTTCGAGCCATCCAAACACAACATAAGCACGCCAATAAGTACTTTGCTTCTAGGATGGAAAAACTACTACTTATACGTCGAAAGGTTCTTAACGTGAATGGTTAAAATCACTTTCCTAGTTTCCTCCAAGCATTTTCCCAAGAATGAAAGGATGACTTCACGTATCCCTCTTAAAAAAGAATAATTGTACACTACTTTTCATCTAAAGTACTTATGCTTAAAAAAATTCCATATTCAGACATTTATCACTTATAGTCTAATATTTCATTTATAGAGACATAATAAGAGTTAATACCATATGAGGTCCTCCGAGTATAGTGGTTTTGTCACGTTTAGTCCTAAACTTTCAAATTAACCATCTGTGGTCCTTCAACTTTCAAATTTAACCATTCGCGGTCCAAGTTAACCACTCATGGTCCTTTAAGTTTTGAAATTTAACCAGCTATGGTCCTCTTGAAAGGACCATGGTTGGTTAAAATTTAATAGTTTAAGGACCATGGGTGGTTAACTTGGACCACGAATGGTTAAATTTGAAAGTCGAAGGACCACAGATGGTCAATTTGAAAGTTTAAGACTACATGTGGCAAAACTACTATACTCGGAGGACCTCATATGGTATTAACTCGACATAATAATATTCATTTTTTTAATGGATTTTTATATCCACAACAATTACTACGTATAAGTAGGGGTGTAAACAAATCAAATAAAAAAAAATCGACTCGTGAGTCGAATTAGAATACGAATTCGAATACGAATCCGAATTCGAATACTTTTTTCGATTCGAATATTTTTCGAATACGAATACGAATTAGAGTGTATTTGATTCAAATAGTTTTCGAATATTTTATGCTATTTAAATATAAATTTTTATTACATTTTATCTTAATTTATTAGAAAATTTTGTAAAAAAAATTAAGTTAGGCATTTCAAATTCGAATATTCAACCAAGTGGCTTGTAGTCCACTGGTATCGGATTGCTCCCCTAAGTGGGAGGTGTAAGGTTCGAACCTCAATTGAGGCAATAGTGTGTATATGTAGGGTATCCCCCTTCTTTATAATAAAAAAAAAATTCGAATATTCAAGTCGAATCGAATATATTCGAATACAAATCAAATTTGATATTCAAATATTTTACGAATATTCGAATCGAATATTGAGATATTTGACTCGATTCGATTCGTTTACACCCCTACGTATAAGATATATAAGGCCATTATAGTTTTAAACGAAAAAAATGCTACTCTCTTAAACTAAAATAACTGCATATTGTGACATTGATTAAAAAAAAAAAACATGCTTCCAGTAAAAATCAAATTTATAATTTTATGATTACGAAGTCAGTAGTCTTAGATTAAATACTTATGAGGGGCGCTGAATGGTGCAATATATCCCCCATTCACATCGAGGAGAACTGCCCCTACCGTTGCCTTACCAGAGTCGTGGAGGAATCCGTCATCTACCCGGCAAATTCTTGGCGGTGGTACGGCGGTTGTAGCAGTAGCGGGCTAGCGGCAGTGGTGGTTCTCTGGCTGCACTTGGGTGTTCGGCTACTGATGTGGCGTCGGCGGTGGGTCGCGCATGACGCCATGCATGTATGGTTGCTGCAGCCACCACTAGTAATTTCCTCGGTTGCGACAGGAATGCATCCCATACCGCTCCGTTTCGTGCTCTCCAAATGTGATATAGAATTGATGCTGCATGTAATATTTCATTAAAGTCTAGAACATTTAGTAGCTCAGTAAACCAAATGTGAAAAATGTTTGTCACAATATTAGGAATTGGAAGGTTGGATTGCTCCCATATGGCCTTTGCAAAGTCACACAACACCAAAGCATGCATAGTGTCCTCTTGAGAGATCTCACACATGGCACAATTTGAATCCATATCCACCATTTTTATAAGCAAGTTTATAGTGGTAGGGAGGATATCACTAATACCTTTCCATATAAATGTTTTCCATTTGGGGGATTTTGAGACTCCATAGGGTGAACCATTTATTAAAAGCCTATCACTGTTTTCATAATTTTTTGTGATGCGCCAATAACTATTTTTTATTGGTATCATCATATTCTGGAGAAACAGGTATCTTTAAGATATTATTTACATCTGTAGGTTGAAATAAATCTGAGGATTGAATGATCCTAAGAATCAGTCTTTTGATTAATTAAAAAATATGAGATTCTAATTTCATAAAAATAAAAAAATTTTAAAATTTCTTTCAATCAAATGAAGAAATTTATTTACATTCAAAATTATGTGAAAATTAAGTGGGAATAGATCGTAATTCTCATCGACCAAACTTACCGTTAATTGAAATTGTTAGAAAAAACAGAGTATCAAATATCAAATCTTGTTGTAACCTTTTGAAATAAACGTGAAACACGCACTTATCGATCTCCTTAAACGACGGCGTTTGAAGATAAGTACTGAGCACAGTGATAAACACTGCGTCGTTTCTACGCTAAACCGCCCAAATAAATAAATATATAATAAATGTTTATATGGGCCTTTGGCCCTTCCCACTACAAAACAATAAAAAAAAAAAAAAAAAAATAAATGTTTATATTTTTCCCAAACACGACATTATCGGCTATTTATACGTGGGCACGCGCTCGATCGCAATCTATCCCGTCTCTATCCCTTCGCGCTCTTTCTCTCTAGCAAAACTCGCCGGATTGACTCTGGGAGACGACAACGACCACCATGTCGGACGAGGAGCACCATTTTGAGTCCAAGGCCGATGCCGGAGCTTCGAAGACTTACCCTCAGCAGGCCGGTACTATCCGTAAGAATGGTTACATTGTCATCAAAAACCGTCCTTGCAAGGTCTCCCTCTCCCTCTAGCTCCCTCTCTTTCGAATGAATGTTATTAATCTTTTAATCGACTTGTTTTCGTTTATGAATGGTGTTAGTTATGCTAGTTATGTATACTAGATTATATATAAGCTCCTTTAGGTTGGGAGAATTTTAATGGAATTGCTTCTGCATTTTAACCTTATTTCTTCAAGATCAAGAAATTGAGCCTGCCTTGTTTCTCTAGTAGCTGGGTGAATATCAAAAGTTGGATAGTTTAGTCAATTGCGAAGGCGATTGCTACGGAGTATATATGTTTAGTGCTTTTGCCGTTTGTTCTTGCTGTTTAGTAGCATCTGCATAGTTGAGGTTTGAATATTAAATGCAGTAGTAGATTGTGACGGTGTATATTTAAGGCTGATCACTTGCTATGATGTTAATTGGACCTATCTGGAATTTGGGTCTGCTTTATAAGTATTGGAATTTGTTAAAATTGTTCCAGGGCTTAGCTTGTGAACATTGCAACTTTTGCTGCTTACTTTCCTCCAAAGAATTCCTCATGGATAGATGAAAAATCATTATGCTAACTAATTCTGTGCTTTACGGGTTGCTTGATTAACAGTGCGGTTGTATATTTAAGTGTTGAGTGCAGAGTGCATATTGTTTCTGATCTTGATGGGTTTCTTTTGTTCTATTTGGTTTTATCCCTTGCATTTTGACTTGTATATATAGTTCCACAATGTAAGATATCTATTCAATAATTACTTGATTTTAGTTCTGTCCTAATATTTGGCACTTTGGGGGTATAGGTTGTGGAAGTTTCAACATCCAAGACTGGCAAGCACGGGCATGCTAAATGCCACTTTGTTGCTATTGACATTTTCACTTCAAAGAAGCTTGAAGATATTGTTCCATCTTCACACAACTGTGATGTATGCCATCTGCTTTTTGTTGTCTTTTGAGTATGCTGTTTTCCTTTGAGATATTCAGACTTGTTGCAGTCTGTTTTCCTGACACCCTATTATTTTCTATTCTAATTGTATTTCCTAATTGCAGGTTCCCCATGTTAACCGCACAGATTACCAGCTCATTGACATCTCTGAAGATGGATTTGTATGTTGCAACTCCCTTGCTAAGTTCATTATGCCGGTTTAATGAATGTCCCTTGCTAAGTTCATTATGCTGTTTTTATGAATGTAATATATTATTAATCTGGAAACTATTGCAGGTGAGTCTGCTAACTGAGAATGGCAACACTAAGGATGACCTCAAGCTTCCAACTGACGAAAATTTGCTTACACAGGTCAGTGTATTTTACTTTTTTACTTTTAGCAACTGGGCACATGAAGTTTCCTAATTTGGATCATATATGCTCCAGGAGTTTTCCTAGTCTGTCTAACATACTTGCCACTATGTTTTCTAAACATATTGTCAGTTTTATCACACACACACACACACACACACATATATATATAAACTTGAAGACTTGTTTTTATGCATCTAATTCATTGTACTGCACTTAATTCATGTTTTCCCTGAATTATGGCAGATCAAGGATGGATTTGCTGAAGGCAAGGACCTAGTTGTGAGTGTGATGTCTGCCATGGGAGAGGAGCAGATCTGTGCTTTGAAGGACATTGGGCCCAAGAGTTAGATTATTTCAGTGTCAATTTTAGACTCTGAACCAAGTTGTTGCAAAATTTGTTCTGCCAAATTCCTCTTTATTTGAATAACTCCAAAAATAGTTAGGCAAGTTTGGAATGTCGTTCTGTGTTCTGTCTGGTTTTTAACTCATTGTATTTCGCTTTCAATTCAGTCATTTACAATTTGGTCCTAACTGCAACAATTATCTGTATACATCCAGTGACTTCACATGTTAAATTTATAAAGTTTGATTAATTATATTTTTAAAATATGTTTGGTTTTTCATTTTCTTTTCTTTCATTATTAATGATTATAGTGTTTGGAAAATGGTTGAGACTTGGTCAAACAACTAAAATTAGTATTTGATAAAAATAGCTTATTGACATAGTTAATTGGTCCAATTGTTGATTTTCAAAATGCTATCTTGATCTGCGTTTCTCAACTTATTGTATTTTTCGTTTTAACACTTGATCGGAATTTTGAACATACCTTTAAATGTTCTCTTGTGCATAATTAAACAAGACAAAGCAATATGTTTTTCTGAGAGTTTAAAGGTTTTGTTAGAAACCTTGAAATACCATTGAAAATGGTAAGCTAGGGAAGTATGCTTACTTTAAGATTTTCGTAAATAAAACATTCCTTGGATTTCCACAAATATTTCATGGAATCCCAACTTTCAAAAACTCATAATAAAATGTTAAAAAAAAAAAAACTCGTAATAAAATAAGTTCAGTATGGAGAAAAAAATCAATATGAAAGCAAAACAATTTCACACCCTTAGGGATCCAATTGAATTATCATCTCATTGTCTTAATTTTTGTTAAAAAGAAACAACACAAATAACATAATGAGCAAACACTTAATACAATTTATATTACTAACACAATTTTAGTTCCAATTAAGGAATAACATCATTGACTTTTATTAAATTTTAGAGTTATGTTCAAACTTATAAAAAGAATTCATGTGATAATTAAAATTGTAACATAAAATTTTTATTAAATTTAAGTGTAATATTAATAATTAGAGTTACGAGTTGCGTATTACTCGCACCCGCAAAATCCCTATCCCATTACCATTCCTACTCTCTACCTTAACTATAGTGTTAGATTTTATAGTCGTGCACCTATAATGAGAATGCTATCAAACTAATGAGATCAAAATAACAATTAACTCTTTGAAATATTAAAAGATTTCAAATTTGTAGACATCATATCCTGAAGGGGAAAGGAATGATATATCCAAGCAACTTCTTCATCTTCAGTCCTATGGTATAAAGGAATCGATCCCACTCCCTCACATTTCACAACTTGTTTTCCACCTTTAGGTCTTCTATCTTACAAGTCGAATTGCTGTTCCGCGCCAATCATTAGGAATTTCGCCTCTCAGGCTTCCATCAAGGGCCCGGACTGAGTGTTCAGTTCCCACCTGCATAATCCATCCAATTTTCCGAGAACTCAAACGCCTACTTCAAGTAAAACAATGAAAGGGAGTTCGATCATTTCCTCGTTGTTATGTCAAAGCAAAACCTGTTTTTTACCTTCACAATGTATACATCGATTCCCAGTCTTGCAATCATTGCAGCTTCAGATATTTTGGTAACCATACCACCAGTTGTATCATGGGAAGCCACAGTGAATTCTGACACGAGCAGAATAAATCTCACATGTTAATCTCAGTTGTTGACTATCATCGAGAGAGAAGAAAGAAGAATAACGAGGAACAAATCATCTATAAAGTTCATCGTTTTTTGTCTGTTTCTACTAGTAAATCTCAACTTATATACGAAGGCCATTTCACTAACCTGGTTTGCCTGTGCCTTGTAAGGTTGGCTTCACTACAGACCAGCTCCCATCTTCACGCACGGCTGTAACAGACAAAAAACGCAGATGTATAAAGTTTACGCTCAAATTGAGTGAGTCTAAGAAGAGTGGATGGAGTACTTCAAATAATTGAATGACACTATTATTTGGGTATCGTTATGTGACAAGACTAAACCAAAGTTTTAAAAAATAACTCAGAAATCGTGAAAATATTTTGTTTAAATTAGCCGAGGAAAGTTTACTTCAATCAACCATACATCTCAGATTTAAATGCTCACCTATTTCTTGGAGAAGTACAGCGTTGGGTTCTGTAGGTGGGCGGTCATATACACCATAAACATCTGTCTATAGAATAAACATATAGGATAACACATGTAACAAAATATTTGCCTCATACAAGATGCTTAAAGAAAAAAATATTTGCATGAAAATATAGAAGCAGAACAAACGGGACATTAGGAGAAGGATTTGTGAGATTTTATATGATTATCCTACATATAATACACACACATCTTCATATAATAGCAATTTCCTTGTTTAACCATAAGGTTACAAGTTCGACTCCTAGCGGGAGTGACCTATTGGTTTTCTTGGTTTGAGCCGGTCAGCTATGGGCAACCTAGACTGGTTTACCCCCCCTTGTGGTCCGCTAGGGTCACAAGGCGGGATTTACTCAGTGCACACCCTCAGATAGTGGCTGCGGGTTTTCCTCATCATTCAAAAAAAAAAAAAAACAGCGAGGATACAAGGAAAACGACATATTCTGGCTTCAATTTTGCTGCCAAATGGCTTATGATCACATCTCCACTCAGTATAGTGCATTCCTGAAAATGTAAATACATACATCATAGTCCATACCATGTAAGTTGACAAATTAATACGTTGACCAAACCTGTGAGCTATCTAGTACTGCATCTCCATGCAAAACCTGAAATTTCAGTGAACAAATATCTTACTTATCATATTAGATGGGAACATATCAAAAGCTAAATCAAATTATAATGAGAACTCCCCAGAATATCTGTCAGCCTGCATATTGAATCATTTTGGATGTGATAACTATTACTGGTTATATGAGAATCAATTATCTAAATAAGTTCTCAAATCTTAAAATCAGATAAGTTAGAATCACACAAAAGAATACAAATCTAATTAGCTAATTTCATTCAGATTAGCATTTAGCACGAGTCGTTCACACCAAATATCTCTATAATCTTGAGTCCTCTGCAGATAAGGTAAGAGGCTAACCACGAGCCGTTGGTTCCCCCCGCCCCCACTTTTTTACCTTTAAAAATTATATACTTCAATTGACGGATGGGGGCAGTTTTGTAGCATATGAAATTTAAATTTATAATGAAGTTGCTCATTTAATGAATAGAAACTTACAGGGATGAGACCGGCATCAATAGCATTAACCACCATAGACACGTCGGCTGCATCCATCTGTAGAGATGCATAGTTCTCAGGTATTAACTAATTCATGGAAACAAACTTTAACCGACAAATAAATTAAACAGCTAAAGAGATAATAAAAGATGATCATATGTTTAACAAATACAATCATCTGGTTGCCTTCTGACATTTCTTTGACAAGTTGACCAACCACAAGAGAACGGTGACATTCCAATCGAAGGAATACCCTCTGTAAGAAAACAAAACCATTAGTTAAGAGATGCACTTGGTGGCAAAGAATAGTCGAGGATAAATTCTTTAAAGTGTGAACTAAAACACGAGGGTTTCAGCAAATTAGTAGATAGTCGAGGATAAATTGTTTAGTTGATTAGCTTAAACAAAACTAGCACGGGTACCTCTTGCTAGAGCTCTGACAATTTCAAGATTGAGGGATGTAACCTGACATCGGGAAAAGAAAAACACGAGAAAAATCAGACTCAACTTTCTGAACCTTGATGAATTTTTGTAAAGCTTTGTATGCGACTTTTTAAGAGAAGATAGGGAGGTAACTTGCTCCAAGATTAAACAATATGACATACATACGAGGCTACACCTACAACAGAGTCAAAAGGTAGACACCAGATTAAAGGGAATATCATAATTAATCTTACAGATATACGTGTAGCAACAAAACCAGCCTTGACAAGAGGTTGGCTCAACCCACCCTTATGAACACCAGATTTGCTAGCTTGGAAGTGTCCAAAAGAACCTGAAAGCACCACCATAAGTAGAGATATATACAACTGAAAACTGATGGTATTATCATAGAACCAATATTAGCCATCTATATATATGATCTTCTTTTTCAATCCAGCTTTATTTCCATTTGGAAGACTAAAGATATTGGGATAATTAAGTTCCACAGGAAAAATGTCTGAGGATACATATTTCAAGAAAGAGACAACCAAACACTACCAACCTGCCCCGTGAACAACAATAAAACTCTTGGAACCAACAACCGGTTGATCACTAAAATCACTGTTAACTGTTGGAGGTTCAGAGAATCCAAGCCTTTTACTCCAGTCCATTCCAGCAACTTTCTGAGAAGCAGAACCAAACATCAAACTTTGCCGGAGCTGTGATGAAACTATCATAAGGTTCTCCTCGTCTATGGTTTCTAATTCATTTTTACATGTAATGGCCGCTCCTCCTGAGATTACAAAAGATAAACACCTAATGAATTTATTTTTTTTTTTTATATTACCAAGTACCAGAATATATCAATCAACTAGAACCAAGTTATTCTTTTGTGTCAATTACACAATAAATATGCAAGAAATATACTGTAGAACGGAAACTTTATTGTTTCAAGATTCACACAGAGTAGCAATTGAGTAAAAGATTGCATTTTTATAAAGCATACCATTATGTTAATCCACTGTACACATTCTATCTTTTCTTTTTCTTTTTCAACAATCTTTATGGAGCTACATTTAATTTAGAGGTGCAACAAGAGAAACCCAGATATCGAAATGACAATCCACGAGAACAATTAAAAAAGAAAACCTGAAATACAAACAAATTGAAAAGGAAAATCCCATCTCTAGATTGGAATCGGATTCAGTTGATTGAATGCATAGAAAGAAGTAGAAATTTGATGGGATAAATTGAGAAAATGGGAGTGAAGATTGCTGACCGAGTTTGACGATGCAGCGGATGGGTTTGGTATTCTGTTGCTCCATATTGAACTTGTGTTGACACTGTTAGCGTTGGCTGCTCAAGGGGATCGAGTAACAAATACAAGGATGCTCTTCTTTATAGAAGAACGGTATTCTACCTAAATAATGTAATAAACATATTCTTATGTATGCATTGTAATAATAATAATAATAGAATTAATAGTAATAAAAATATATATATTTTTATGTCTGATTTTTTTTTTGGGGTGCTATTTACAATGTTAAATGCAGTATTTTTTTTTATATGTAAAAAGACACTGTTTAGTGCAACAAATATTATCTATTTTTATTTTTGAGATAGCTTCGCCAACATCATCTTAAAGGATAGGAACGGAGCCAGAAATTTTGTTGAGAGGGAGTGAAGAAGTATAGACAGATTCATCAATTTTTTCGAGTGAAGGCGAAACATTAAAACAAAAGAGATAATTAAAAAAAAAATTACCCAAAAAATATAGTCATAAATATTATTGGATATGGGCGAAAAATAAAACACATCAAAATTTGCATAAGGATTTGAACTCTAAACCTTCAAGATAATCAAATATATGCTCTACCAACTAATCAATCTCACTTCTTATTAATATTTATCCGTTTCTTTATACTAATACTAAACTTGTACTATATATACATATATACATACAACAATTATATATGGAGTGGAAGTGAAGGGGGAAGGGGGGCAGCCAGACGTTATGCCATGGAACCGTGTTCACCATTCATGGTGAACACGGTTCTAACGGTGTTACTACACCGTTATCTTTTTTTTTTTTCTTTTTTTTTTAATTAATTGCGTGACTTTTCTTCTTTATTTTCACATTTTGCAGTTTCACTTTAATTTGAGGTGAACAAGGATTTCGGACATTCATAAATTATGAATTCATGCCTGCACATTCACTTTGGAACCATGCCTACACATTCCCGTCCGAAATCACGGACATTCATAAATTATGAATCCATGGCTGCACATTCACTTTGGAACCATGCCTACACATTCACTTTGGAACCATGAGATTATGAATTTTCTGTTATAAGATTATGAATTTTCTGTTATGAGATTATGAATTTTCAGTTATGAGATTATGAATTTTCTGTTATGCGATTATGAATTTTCTGTTATGAGATTATGAATTTTCATTACATTCATAATTTCGGACATTCATAAATTATGAATTCATACCTGCACATTCACTTTGGAACCATGCCTACATATTCCCGTCCGAAATCACGGACATTCATAAATTATGAATCCATGCCTGCACATTCACTTTGGAACCATGCCTACACATTCACTTTGGAACCATGAGATTATGAATTTTCTGTTATAAGATTATGAATTTTCTGTTATGAGATTATGAATTTTCAGTTGTGAGATTATGAATTTTCTGTTATGCGATTATGAATTTTCTGTTATGAGATTATGAATTTTCATTACATTCATAATTTCGGACATTCATAAATTATGAATTCATACCTGCACATTCACTTTGGAACCATGCCTACATATTCCCGTCCGAAATCACGGACATTCATAAATTATGAATCCATGCCTGCACATTCACTTTGGAACCATGCCTACACATTCACTTTGGAACCATGAGATTATGAATTTTCTGTTATAAGATTATGAATTTTCTGTTATGAGATTATGAATTTTCAGTTGTGAGATTATGAATTTTCTGTTATGCGATTATGAATTTTCTGTTATGAGATTATGAATTTTCATAAAATTCATAATCTCATAACAGAAAATTCATAATTTGATCAAACGCGCGCCGTTAACTCCACATCCGCGATTTTTTTTTTTTGGCCTAAAAACGACGTCGTTTTGCCTTGTGTTCACCATTCTCGGTGAACACGATTCCATGGCATAATTTGCGGGGGGCAGCTGCCCCCTTTGCCTCCGTCCATGCTGAAGGAATATCATAAGATCTTCAGGAGGTTCAATGATGATTGTAGTACCCTACTCTGAGATTGACTCAAGTTAATCAGGTAATATTGTTTCATTCTCTCAACGTGTGGGAGAATCAAATAACATTAAACCCCTTATCTAGATATTTACAACTGGCGATTGCTCTGTCACTTGTGTTGTCAATGCCACGGCTTTTGAATCTATCTCAATATTCACCTTGTCAATCCCCTGTTCTTTGATGAACCATAAACTCTCTTAAGTTCCACAGTTTAGCAGAGAAACTGTCAATATGCCTCACCCATTACTAACCCCATAATCCAATGACTGACGTCATTCCACGGAGTCCCCTCACACTATTATTGACATTGCTCATATTAATTATTTTTTGGGACTTTTATTTCAATGTATATTTGGCTTCAGATTCTAGCTTATATAGTTATATTAATTATTATACATTTTGGGACTTCTTGGAGTCGTTTACTAAATTGGAAAAATGGAGAATTTTCTGGAAAAATGGAGAATTGGAGAAGTGAAAAAATGAAAAATGGAGAACTTGTTTACTAAATTTATGTTTCCAATTTTTATCTCATCTCCATTCTTCTACTTCCTATACAATTTTGGAGAAAGAAAAAAACACATTTTCCAAATGGAGAGATGGAAACGCGTGAACAATACTAAAGCCCGAGGTCTTGGTATCGAATCCTGCGCGCAACAAATATGTTTGATATTTAAAACTCAAAGCTACCTTTTCACTTCCACTTTTGTTGCTTCCTGTGCGTGCCCCTTTATTATTATTATTATTATTATTATTATCTTTTTCTTTTTCTCTTTCTTTTTCCATTTTCCTCCTTATATACACAAATTTGCTGTTATTATTATTAAATTATTAAATTATTACTATTATTATTATTATTATTATTATTATTATTATTATTATTATTATTATTATCTTGGTTGTAGAAATGTACAAATACTATATGGGATGATTATTTTTAATAAAATAGAAAATTAGAAAAATAAAAAATTGGAGGAATGGAGAAATAGAAAAATGGAAGAATGGAGAAGGAAAACTAGAGAAATAGAAGAATGGAAAACTGGAAATGGAAAAACAGAGAAATAAAGTAAACGACCCCCTTGTATTTCATATTTCCGTGCATGTGAATGGCTTGGCAGCTATTATAAATCTATAACAATTAATATTTTGTTAGGAATTGATTTGTACGCGACAAATTTATCTATCTTAGAAGTTTACGTGTATTATGTTAAATAGTTTAGGTATATTATGTTACAAAATTTATGTATATTATATTAGGAGTTTACGTATACTCTACTATATAATCATGTAAATGCAAAATATACCTGCATGGGTAGCTCATTATGCGCAGCAACGTTATGTGTAATGTTATTCATTTTTTAGTTCATTCATTCTAGATGTGTAGCTATAAAGTTATGAATGTGTAGTTATGCAATTCTGGATTTATAGTTATGAAGTTATGGATATGTAGTTATGCAATTCTTGATGTATAGTTGTGAAGTTATGAATATGTAGTTATGCAATTCTGGATGTATAGTTACGAAATTATGGATGTGTAGTTATGTAATTCTGGATGTATAGTTATGAAATTATGGATGTGATGAAATCATGGATGTGTAGTTATGCAATTCTATTTTTTTTTTTTTTTAAATTAGACGTCAAAACGACGTCGTTTTTGCATCCGGATGCACAGCATAACGATCTAACGCGGTAGTAGCATCAGAAATAAAATCCCATTTTAATAGCAAATTATATCATGCACCGCGCGTCAGACACTATAGTGTGTCTAAACCGACACTGTCTGTCGTTTTATTAATGAAAAGAAACAGAATCTTCGCAAAAAATAACTCTGTTCTTCAGTTTCATTTTGTATACACTGCAGTTTCAGTTCAACACAACTACAGTTTCATTTCGATATAACTACAGTTTCATTCAATATTTATACACTAAAATATGTGAAAATGTCTATAATTTCATTAAAACACAACTACATGATCATTTCAATTAATTACAGCTTCATTATACAATATACACTCAAATATATGAAATGTTATTCAGTTTCATTTTATATATACTGTAGTTTCATTTCACCACAACTACAGTATCATTTTTATATAACTATAGTTTCATTTGATAATATACAAATAATACGTGAGACAGTGTCGGTTTAGACACACTGTAGTGTCTGACAATCACACACCGTGGATCGTGGTGCATGATATAACAATCGTTATGCGTTGGACCCGTGTCCAGCATGCATGCTGGACACGAGTAACAGTGCCGTTAGGCACTGTTATCTCCTTTTTTTTTTTTTTTCTTTTTTTCTTTTTTTTTTTCTTTTTAAATTTCAGACCCCTTCGTTATAGGATATATGTTCATAATTAAAATTACTATATGTTAATAACTGTATATTCATAACTCCATAACTGTACGTTCATAACTCTATAACTGTACATTCATAACTCCATAATTGTACATTCGTAACTCCATAATTGTACATTCATAATTTTCGAAGCTCTATGTTCACAATTTTAGAGCTCTATGTTCATAATTTTATCACTATATGTTCATAATTGTAAGTTCATAATGTTAGAGCTATTTGTTCATAATTCGATCAATAACTGTACATTCATAATTCCATAACTGTAGATTCATAATCTCATAACGGTAGATTCATAACTTCATAACTGTAGATTCATAACTCTATAACTGTACATTCATAATCTTCAAAGCTCTATATTCACAATTTTAAAGCTCCATGGTCATAATTTTATCATTATATGTTCATAATTGTAAGTTCATAATGTTAGAGCTCTGTGTTCATAATTTCATAATTGTACATTCATAACGGCATAACTGTACATTCATAATAAAAAAAAATAAAAAAAAATAAAAAAAATAACGCCGTTAACGGCAAAACGCGCGCAAATTTTTTTTTTTTTTAACTAAATGACGCGTTTTTTTTGAAAAATTCGTTTTGGGTCCTAGTCCACTGAATTATGGACACGGGTCCAGGGCATAATTTGCCATGATATAACAACCCCATTTTAATCCTATCAGACTATCAGTGTATTAGGCCCAAATTCATCTTGCCCACTAAAAGCCGGCCGAGTTCCCTGACCAAGCCCAACATTAGCCAGCCCATCACCCTCGAACCCATCCTCGCCGATCTCCACCACCTTCCACCGCCGTAACTCCCTCCTCCCCGGCCTTTCCCCTATGTTTCTCCCCCTCCAACAGAGATCTTTCTTTAATTTTTCATCATAACCCCCCGATGGGATGCGCCACGACGACGCCCCTGCCATGATGTTCAACAGATTGTGTGAGGAAGAGAGTGCGAAAGAGAGAGAGAGAGAGAGAGAGGGTGAGCATGCCCTTTATGTAGTTAGCTTAGGGTGGTTATAACAATGAATAAAAAAATGAGAAGAAAAATCACATATTTAGATGGAAAGGCACGAATATCGGATTCAGTTAATTGAATGCATAGAAAGAATGTACAAAAAAAAAAAAAAAATGTACAAATTTGATAGGATAAATTGAAAAAAAAAAATGAGAATGCATAACATGATAATAATTAATTTATGATAGTTGCCGACCTACGTGTATATCGAATTCTTATTTTAGTTATGATTTTATTGATTTCCTGTTAAAGTTTATTAATAAATATTCTATTAAGACAATTAAAACAAATATTGTGACAATTTAACTAATCATTATATTAATTTTATCTCAAATATTGAATACTTCCACTTTTCATTATAAATAAAATAATTAATTTATGATATCTACCAAATTGTATATTTTTTTTTCATCCAAAATATATAAATTATAAATTTGATGGGTTAAAATAATATTTTCAAATTATTTTTATTAATAAATATTTATATTTAAAGTTTAAATGTTTTTTATATTGAGACCATATCTGCACACACTACACGGAAAAATGCCTAGTAATATTTTGCAAAAGGTGAATACGTACACAAAATAATTTTAAAAGAAAAATAATAATACATTAACTAATGAAAGATTTTTTTTTTTTATGTAACGAATAATACGTTTCATTGTCATTTTTCTAATTTAGAAAAATATTTTAAATTTTAGAAAATAAGTTAGACATGCTCTTCCCTTTGAAAAAATAAAACACAAATAGTGGATTGGTGATTAACCTCCAATCTCTTTGACTTTTGCTCTTACTATAGTCTCTGACTTTCCTTGTTTAAATTTTAATTTGAAACAATTATTGTTGCTAAAAAGTCAAAATCTCTTACTATGTTACATCTTTCTTTTGCTATTTTGAATCATGAATGTTAGGAAAATGATATAATTTGCAAGGAAATATGGAGATGAAATAGATTTTCAAGTGGGGTTATCATATATTGTTGCAGTCAAAAGACAAAAACACAATTATACAAACACTTAATAATAATTGCATTGCAGAATTGGGCTAAACAATATAATCATCTTATTAATCATCATCTCCAATAGACCACCACATCTGGAATTCCACAACTGATCAAGAAATTTCTTGTGGCTTAAGAATTCAATAATAAACCCTAAATTCTCTTCCACCTGATCTGAGTTGAAGTTATACAGGTATTACAAATTGAGGTATCTGCCCATGATTTACAAAATCAATCTTGTTCAGTCGAATGTTGCACACAACTTTCTCTGGCAGTTCCTCCGCCTTCTGAGCCTACATTAATTGTCCAAAACAAAAATGCAAAGTATAAATCTAATCTTATGTTTTAATTTCTCTTAGCTTCATAGAACAATATAATATTGCCTAATTAATGTTTATGAGCGAAGAAATGAAGTATATACCTGGATTGTTAATCCTAAGTCAAGTATCCCGTGTTTCAACCTCTCCCGGAATGCATCAAGCCCTTTCCGAGAAATGTAGCTGAAATGATGAACATCCAGGTCGATTTCAAAATAGTTTGGACCCTGAGAATAAGATCATTATATTGCAAAGTTCATTTTAGTACAACACATTGTGATAATGAATGCTCATCGTGTTCTAATTGAAATATGTGTACCTTATAGAAAGCGTGCTGGGGACGTGAAAGTACTGGCTTATTGTTGTAGGCATGCAAAAGCTTTTTCTCTGCAGAATTCAAGCGGAGTTCTTCATGATTCACGACCCCGACCAAAATTTTTAGTCTCTCCCGGTATGGCACCGCTGATTCTTTTGCAAAACCCTTGACGGTTTCCACCTCATCCATCACAAGTCTCTGAAGAAAACATCAGTAAAGACACGGTTCAGAGATAAATAGGGCAAAGAAAGAAAAAGAATTAACATCACATATTGCAGTTCATAGAAAATGATAATGCCAATGTTAAAAGAACCTTTATGCTGTCTTGAAATTGTGGCGAAGTCTCTTTATCGAAGTTCTCTGATAATTGGAAATACAATACGAGGCTCGTTCCTTCCCCATCCCCGTCTCCAAGGAACAGGGAAGCGGGATATGTTGGTAGCTGATAAAATTAATCAATAAACATTACTTGACTAGTCTTAGAAACCAGTTTATTTGATTTAAACCGATTATAAATTCAGATAACCATGCCTGTATATTAATGATGAGAAGCGGTGGAAGTTTATCATGTGGCTCTACAGTAGGCAATTGAAGATGCTGAGCAATGTGAGATATCTTCTTGGAGCAAGCGAATAGATCAACACCGAAAGGAACATAAGGGCAACAGTTGGGCGCAGGACTTTTCCTCTTATCTCTGCATCGAGAAATAGAAATGTTACATTGTTAGTGACACGACACTCCCAAATGAAAGTTAAGCAGCAAAAGATGAAGATAATTGCGTACCTGAAATAAGTCTCTCCCCGGAGCTTAAAGACAGAAGGCGAAACCGGAATCCAACTCCCTTGACCTAGTTTCTCGTCCTTGGAACATGGAATGATCTGTCCTGCCCTTGGACGACACAACAATCTTTTAGATGTACCTGTTTTTATACCCGTTCTTTTAGTGTTTTGAAAAGCACCCGATACCAATTGCAGAGGGAGGATTGAAGAATCAAGTATATATTCCTCGGAATCTCTACTTACAAAGTTCAGTGATTCTATCGCCCTCGCACATAGCCATTTGGTTTGCTAATACACTCCCGGCTGTGTTGCCCAACGAAAGACAAAAGTCTGGTACAAACATCACAGCAATTTGAAAACGCAACTCGATATTATCATGGCACAATGGAACCAAAACCAGGGAACATTTATGTTCTATATGTATATAAATATATGATTATATACCTCCATGAACACTGCAATAGTCTTCATCTGAATCAGACTCGAGGAAACTATTCGAATCGAACCAGGCTTCCTCTTGACATACCCCTGCAACGAAGAAATCAATTTTAGGTATATGCTTCAAAATTTATCAGCCTGCAATAATCTCGAGAATTATATATACCGCTAGAATCAAGTTGGCTGAGGTTAGCTCGTCTCCGGTTTGTCACCATCCATTCTTCATTCTCGATCGAGACAAACTCATCTGCATCGAAATCTCTCCCGTAATTCCCCACACCAGAAAACTGTTCTATTGGTGCAACAGACACACTGCAAGGCCTCTTCCTGCGAAACCTTCGACACTTTGGGAAGGGCACTCTGTGTGATTTGATCTTCTTGGTTGGGTTTGAAACACAGCCGCCCATGTTTCCTAGGAATCCCCAAACACCAAAAAAAAAAAAAAACTGTCAGATCACTGGAGCATCCCACAAATGCCTACACCTCAACATTTTCACACACAAAAGATGAAATTTGATGTTTTCCTTAATTATGTGTCTTGATTACAATTATCAACACAAATCATTAGTTACCTTGATGTCATAAAAGGAGGTTGAGATGCTGAGATCAACACATCACAGCAGCTCTTCTGCAACAATCAAGGGTGATTCAAGAAAAGCCAAAGAAATTTGGAACAACCAAATTCTCAGTATTCACAAACTGGCACATGATAATTTTAGACTCCCAAAGTCCAAAGCCTACTTTAATTGAATAAAACTGAATTAAAAGAAAACAAAAAGAAAAACAACCAAAAAAGCATACAGTAAAAATCAAATGAATAGCCTGAGTTGTAAGACTTTGGGGCTCTCATGAACAGAGGGGATGGAGAAATATCTCAATATTAAAAAGGAAAAAAAAAAAAAAAAAAAAAAAAGACTTTTAAAGTCTTAGTTAAATTAATACTACAGAACAAATAGTCAAACAACATGAAAAAAAAAAGGTTAGAAACATGGCCATCAATAGTTTACTCATGAGTCTGAATCAGAAAAACCAGAACCAACAAGAATGACAGAATCTAACTAAAACATTTTACCTAGAACTCCAGCCTCAGATCAAAGAATCAGATTCAGACACACATTTCTGGGAATGTTAACAAATAGAACTATCTGTGAGGGCAACACACCAGAACAGAAGTTAAGTTCAGCTGTCACTTTTACCATGCAGTGACAGACAGCCTAGAAGCCAAGGTCAAATCATAATCAATGCTAGCTATGTTGGGGTATGAACAGAGCCACAAAGGTGGAGACTTTATGGCAGAAAACCAATCACAGAATGAGAACCAAAGCAAATGATAAAACCCCAGCAAAAACAAACTCCATAAACAAGTTAATAACAGGTGAAAGAAGAAGAAGAAGAAAGAGATACCTGAGAAGAGAAATGGACCACGGTGAGCTGAGCTGTATAATGAATGGTTCAAGAGTTTAGTGTTGTTGTCTGGTTTTTGTAAGCGTGCAAAATTACAAAGTCAAGAGTTTCAGCCAAACCCAAAGAAGCCTAATGTATGTATATATACTCCTACCAAAAAATCAATCATTAGCTCAGTTGGTTCTTGAGTGTCATATTACGGATAAGATACTGTAATTCTTACCGAATAAGTAATTGTAACTCTGGGAGGATGTTTATCCTGTTAGAGAGACTCGATCGTTAGTTATTATTTTCAAACTTCACCTTTGTGATCAACTGAACTGTCTATACGGATATAATTTTTTATTTCATAATTTTGTAGGTTAGAGTGTGGATGAGAGATATAGCCTTTAGTGACAAAGAATGGAAAATTTTTATATTAAAGTGTTGGGTTGTTAGTGTTGGAGATTGGCAAGGGTGACACATCATCTTTAAACATTGTGTTTGTACTGATTACAATAATGATATAGTAATACTAATAATTTATAGCATCCACTTTCCTTGTAAAAAAATTAGATTTAAGATGACCGAGATCTCGGCATTTCACAAGCATGCCGCACGTGTCATGCATTTAATGCAAATAAAAATTAGAGAAGCCAAAATGGGAAAAAATGGTGGTGTATCGGAGTAATACCGTGTTACAGTAATATTCACGTATGGTAATTGCATGAATATTTTCATGATTTTTTTTATCAAATATTTATTAAAGCATTTACATCACTAATTTTATTTTTTAACGGTTTTTAAAGAATAAAAAACTATATGTATTGTTTTTGACCAAATGGGAAGTGTGATTTTTTGGATATTTTACTTTACAAGTTTAAGATCTTTGTGGAGTTCATGACGAAGAGTGGAATGGGAAAGAGACACGAAAAATTCGCGTGAAGAGCACTGTCCGCGCCCAGCATGGCGCGTGCATGGACGCGCCATTTGGGCTCGTTTACTCAGGCGGTTTCCTCTTTTTTTTTTTTTTTTTTTTTTTTTTTTTTTTTGGGTTTTGTTTTGGGTTGTTTTTTGTTTTTGTTTTTTTTGCTTTTTCCTTTATTTTTTTTCTCCTCGATCCCATTTTCTCTTTTCTTGTTGACACGGTAAAAAACCATCTAAAATGCTTTACTATTGAGGATGTTTTTAGAGCTTCACATATTTTTTACAATACATGTTATCAAAGTCCAAATTAGCAAGTTAAAAGGTGAAGGATGATGTCATATGGATGAAATTTTTTTGCCAAAATGAAAAAATTCCTTATAACTTTTTAGTATATGATGTGACAGTATATGATTCATATTAAACTACAGAGTAATAAATGTATTCATTTTTAATGTAGAGTAGGATTGATTAATTCGATCATGGTAATTGATGAATATATTATTTTTATATCAGATAATGAAGAAAATTATGGTCCATGTAGCAATATATCCACACGTGAAAAGTGAACGTATATTTATTGTCCATGAATTGTGTATAACTAGGACTCCATTTTTACAAACATAGATCATTAAACCCCAACCAGGTTAGCTAGTCTGTTGACATGATACAGTAATTGCAAAGTTACAAAATTGACCATCAATAGGAGCGGCCTATTGACCTTATTGATTTCAGCCGGTCAACTTCAATGACGACTAGAGTCACAAGACGGAATTTATCTGCACACTTTCGGATAGTGATTACAGATTTTCGTCATCACTAAAAGAATATAATATTGTTACACAATTATTAAGTGATGTTTATAGAAATAGACAACCAAAAATTAAAATAACTAAGCATACACAATTCAATATATTAAAGTGTACCTATAACTTCTAAAATTTTAAGTGTAATGGATAGACAAGATAGACCACCTAAAGACCCACCATTAAGATAAACCCAACAGATTAATGATTGCTCCATTTGGTGAAGGCTACTATACAGCAAGCAAACAACAAGTCTTGCTTTCGAAATTATTTAAAATTTAATGAGGATTAGGCAGTGCAATCAATATTTTAAGTTTAATTTATTAGGTTGGTGGGATTGTTCATTGTTATGGCAAAACACCCACTTTTGAATCATTAATTAGGAGGTGAGGTTTGGTTTCATACTTTGATTATTTGAGGCCTGTCGTTACATTCACCTTTTTGTTGAGTGGTCGTGCCCCTGCCCCAGATGTTGCGCCGCAATATGGACCCTAATTAGAGTAAATACCGGCGGAGGTCCTCCGACTTTAGTGGCACTGCCACTTTTAGTCCTCAACTTTTAAATCTACCACTTTTAGTCCTTTTACTTTTTGTTTCTAGCCATCTATGATCCTTTCGTTAAACTTGACCATCTAATGCCGTTTTCTAAAAGGTAATTCAGTCTTTTCATAATTAATTTATTAATTATTATGTTTAATTTCCTCATCATAATAGTCAAACAATGATTTCCCAGCTATGAACGTGTACAAAACCAGCTCGTGAATCAAAATGGCGTACAAAAGCTGGTACGAAGGTTGTGCCAAAACGACGTCGGGATATCTCGGTATGACTCGGAAAACATAATAATTAATAAATTAATTATGAAAGGACTGAATTATCATTGAGAAAATGGCATAGATGGTCAAGTTTAACAGAAGGACCATAGATGGCTAGAAACAAAAAGTAAAAGGACTAAGAGTGGTTGATTTAAAAGTTGAGGACTAAAAGTGGCAGTGTCACCAAAGTCAGGGGACCTCCGCTGGTATTTACTCACCCTAATTATATAATTTTTTTTTAACATTTATATACCAACCAATTGAGAAAAGAAAATTATATTCTTGGCATTTTCTCTCCTCTTTGAAGAAATAGTTGAAGAATTAGGTACAAAGTGATTGTATATTTAGGCCATGTTTGGCTATCAACCAATTTTTACTTATTTGACAATTATTAATTGTTTAATTTAATTAAAAAATTAACTTTAAAATGCTAAAATTTAAAAAACTGCTCAAAACAATCTTTTCAATTAATTTTTTAAGAAAAGAAATTATACCAAACAGCTAATAGCCAATTTACCAAACACCTTCCTACAATACGCTAATGTTATCAACTAGTTATACTCTCTAAACAACTCAAACAGCTAACGGCCATTTACCAAACAGGGCCTTATACTTTTTTTTTTTTTTTTTTTTGGTTCCATACAAGTATCAATATCTTATATAATATGATCAATCCAATTGAGTTTTGATTGTCTAGTCATGAAAAATGATACTATATACATATAGATTTAAATTTTTGATCTCATATTTAAAATTAAACTCAAACACATTCAACCAAATCAATGTCTCATTGTATTGACTTAATGTGAAGATAAGTACTTGATTAGATCAGTATATATATATGAGGAAAATATTTTTCACCTCCCCAAGTACTATACTTTATTAATCATTCGCGTATTTAAAAATAAATAAAAATAAAATCATGGACTACTACCACACTCAATGACACGCTAGGGAGTAATGAATTGAGAACAGTAATCGTAAGAGTTTCTAGAATCATCTTATTTATAATGCTGAGAATTATAATTATATTTATTGTATATATTAAATGTGTGTGTATATATATATTGATCACTTTAAAAGGTATCTAATTACGTGAAAGCAAAAGAAACTTATATACTAATGCAAAACTCTACATGATATATATTATACCTCTAAATTATATACTAGCTAGCAAGGAGTAGGTTGGGTGACTTTAGATTAAGATAATGACAGTAACTTTAATTAAGCTTGATGACGTAGTGTTAATTGGATCTAGCTATCAATCATGGCCATCCTTTTGTATATGGGTATACTTAGAGATATCAAACCACAAACTTCAGGTACGTGTGTGTGTGTGTATATATATATATATATATATATATATATATATATGTATTAGTCAATTGTTCAAATTACGTATCAACCATATACTTAAACAGTTTAATATTATTCTTGCCAACTACCATGGTACATGTAGTGTTATAACATCCTGCTTACCATTCCGAATATGTGGTCATACGTTTGAACTCCATTGGTGGTGGAGATTTAGATTATATTCTTTAAAAAAAGAAAATAATGTTTTAATTTTTATGTTAGGAGACCAAAGGAAACCAAACAGATTTTTTTTTTAAAAAAAAAAATCCTAAAAGACTTAAAATATAATTGTTCGATCTCATAATAATTTAATTTTGAGATTACAATGCAAGTTCAAGAATTTTTATTTTTATAATAAAAATATTGTAACACTTGAATCTATTGAGCATATAATATAGTAATTATATGTATGTAATCCAGTTATTACTACTTTAGATTTTTAGTTGAGAGAGAGTCAGTATCTTTTAATTGGATTTTTAATTAGGTGAGATGAAAAATATATACCGTACTATTCAATTGAATGATAATGCTGAAATTTTATATAGTTAAAACTTTAGTTACGAAGTTTGAATTGTTTGGTTTTCTTTTTCTTCTTTCTTCATCTTACTGATACAGAATTCAATTTGTATCTGAAAATTTAGACTAACAATACAATATTCATTTTTGTGGTACGGTAGGTATTGCCGTAGTAAGGCAAGTAATCAATTTTGTTTTCTTTCAA